GTGTGTGTGTGAGAGATGCCATGTGTTGAAACCTCAACAGGAGAGAGTGCAAACGCTGGTGGTTTCTAATCTGAGGGAAGACACAGAAAGGAAACAGGAGTTGATGTCAGAATCAACGTGGTGGTGTCACAGTAGCTCTTCTTCAGGTTTCTGTAACTGATGACATGTAGTTACCGACAGGAAGCAGCTGTCTTATAGCTCTGATTTAAAAAAAAAATAAAAAAATCTGCAATACTGCAAATTCCCCCATCGTGGATCTAATAAAGGATTTCTAATTTTATCTTATCTCCGGGGAATATCATGCAACGTTAAAGAACGTGATTTTAAAAAACCACAAGTTCCAGTTCCTCTGCTCCGTCCTGTAGTTTTTGAGTAATCCTGTAAACTACGAGAAACAAACAGCGAGAGACCCGAGACTTTATGTGTATATAAGAGTCGTTCTGTGTTTTCATTGACTGGTTCTCTTTAAAATCAGAGTGGGAGATGTTCTTCTGCCCCAGGATGTGTGATTACAAATTCTGATACTGTTTTTTTTTTCCGATGCTTCTTCTGTACAGGACACAGACCGACAGATATTTCTCATTTTATAGTCAGTTAGATGCTTGTGTGGAAGGAACCGATGAATACATGAAGTAAAGATTCTTGTGTTTGTCTCCCTCAGGAAAATCCCACCTGGCCATTGTGCAGAAGGTGAACAACGAGGGGGAGGGAGATCCTTTCTATGAAGTGCTGGGGTTGGTCACCCTGGAGGACGTGATCGAGGAGATTATCAAATCAGAGATTCTGGATGAATCGGACCTTTACAGTGAGTTTGACTTTGCTTTTGTTTGTCGGGTTCTTATCACTGGACCAGTCTGCAGATAAAGATGTTTTCACCCTCATTATTATTTGATGATATTATTTATTATGCTCTTATTGTGTAAAGTGTATGTCAACACGGAACAACCAAGAGGATTCACAGTGTTCTGCTCTTTGCATTAACGCATTCATCTGTAAGTTTACCTTTAAATGAAGAACTTTGTCTGTGTGTGTCTGTGTGTGTCTGTGTGTATCTGTGTGTGTCTCATTTCTCAGCTGATAACCGCACCAGGAAAAAGGTGGCGCCCAATAAGAATAAGCGAGACTTCTCTGCCTTCAAGCACGAGAGTGAGTCGAAAGTGAAGATCTCTCCGCAGCTGCTGCTCGCTGCTCATCGCTTCCTGGCTACAGGTTTGTGTTTCTTTTGTCAGCATAAACACTGGCCTGGGGGGGGGTGGGGGAGAGTATGTCTAAGTTGTGTTGCTGCAGATTCTCTCATGTTGCCAACCGCAGCAGGTCCATACTTACGGCGATGAGGTTATGTTTGTTTATTTGGACGATTCTATTTAAGATCCATGCGACATGCCTGCGCCTCCCCCCACAAGAAGACGCTGGAATCCAGCCAGCTGCATGGATGTGATGCCATCGCCGTCACGTGTTGCAGTGTGTCTGCTAGAGCGAGCGTTGGCCTCTAGTACTTCCGCGATCTCACAGGCGCTGCGGTGCAGCAGCGCACCAGCGTCTTCCTCTGCCGGCATGACATCAGTGTCTGCTTACGTTGTTTCTGTTTTCTTTCTCAGGATGTTGGTCTCATTTTTCTTACTCGATTCATTACACAGGAATCCACTGTTTGGTTGGTCACACATTCCAGAGCAGGAAGTTACTGTTTCCTTGTTTATCTTGTTCAGATGAATGATCGCTTCCCAGCTGTTTTTAGATCTTTGGTCGGATCTCTGTTGCCGCTGTCATGTGATATGGGGAGTATCACTGTCCTCAGACTGAAGTGGTCCAGATGAATGTAATGACGTTTGAGGACAACTCAGTCTGTCGGTAGATTGTAAACAAAAAGATTCAAAGGCTGTGACACTCTTCTAGAATACTTTAAATAGTTCTTATTGTTGTTGAGGTCAGATACCAGCTTAAGAAATATTTAGTTTGACCTTTCTTTCCCCGGGAATCACTTTTTTCTAAGAGCGGTGGTCGTGTAGCGTAAGTATTTCACGCTGCCCCGCGAGTAAATGCAAAGTTCAGCGACCTGGCTGATCTATTCCATTCATTTCTATGTCATTCTCTCTGTACATCTATGTGGGCGTGGCAGCCCTGCACCGTATCGCCTGTAAATTCAGCTCGAATCATCCTCAGTCTGTTCCACACACTGAGATCAGATCTGTTCTCCACTGATGCCTAAAGCTCAGGTGTCAAATCAGTTCATCCTGCATGAATTCCAGTGTTGGTCTTATATGCCTCACCTCTCACTGTGTGCTGCGAAGGGTTTGTGTTTGCAGGCTGGAGTGTGTCTTTGTTCTCCGTTGGGTGCGGACCAAGGCACTTATGTCTGAGCTCTGGTTGCAACAGGCCGACTCTCAACAGTTGAGAAATACATGAAAAACAAACACCTTTCACCTCTTCACCTTTTTTTTTAAAGGGGCAATGCACATTTATGATCGTCACTGTAAATGTTGTAGTGCTACCCAGAAGGCTCAGTTTTAATTGACACTGACACTGCAGCTTATCGTTGGTTGGAAAATGATTTAATACGATTTAACATGACTCACGATGTCGTCTATCAGTGGAACCTCACTCTCACGGCGCAGACTCCAGGTTTGGAGGAAGTGGAGACGTGTTGTTCATGTTTATATGCAGTTTGTGATCTTTAGCTTCAAGCAAATAAAAAAAGTGTCTCTGGTCTTCCTGCAGAGGTGAGCCTGTTCAGCCCGTCGCAGATCTCAGACAAGGTGCTGCTGCGAATCCTGCGGCATCACGACGTGATCCAGGAGATCAAGTTTAACGACAGCGACAAGCGCTCGCCCCATCACTACGTCTACCAGAGGGGCAAGCCCGTCGACTACTTCGTTCTCATCCTCCAGGTATGTAATTATACTGCTTCTTGTTTATTATCTGCTCGGTTCTGGGTGCGTTAAATACACAAACCTCAGGAGTTTCTCTGGCTGCTGTCTCAAGAAGGAGAAAGAGTAGTTTTGGACTCATACTGGATTCAGATTGAAGTTGTTTTGGATTTCACACACACACACACACACACACACTGGTAGTTTAAAACATCCCCCAACACTCCCACATACACACCAACACATGTACAAACAAGGACAAAATCTAGTTTTACACCAACCTGCACTTTCAGATGACTGATGAGGCGTTTGAGGAGCAGTGTTTTCTGTGGGGGAGAGGAGCTCCCTTCACCACAGACTTTTTAACTTTGCAGAACTTTTACATAAACAAAAACTCCCACGTCTCCTTTAACGTTTGGTTTAAACAGACAGATATTAAACCAGGTGCTTGAGTCTGTGTTGTTATCACAGCAGCAACAGTTTGGAAGTGTCAACTGTTTTAAAGTCAATTAACTCTGCAAGGAGATTAGCTGCCAACTTTAAGGTTTTAAAGAGCAAGAGTTGGTGCAGTGCCAGATGAAAGGAGAGAGGAGAGGGAGGGAGGGAGAGGGAGGGAGAGGGAGGGAGGGAGGGAGAGGGAGGGAGAGGGAGAGAGGAGAGGTTTCTACACCTGTGACCTTGAGATAAAGAGGCTGATGAAGGAGGGACATGACTCCTGAAGGACTTCCACTAATTGATCCCTATTATGTAAGATGTTGGCAGAGGGGGGAGGACACTTTACCCGCCTACTGTCGGTCAGCTGTCAATACACTAATGCCGCACACACACACACACACACACACACACACACACACACACACACACTCACACAGTATGCACCTTCTTCAGAGAGTCTCTACCTCCCTCTGTATGTTCACACTCTGTAAACACGCAAAAGTCACTGACGCTGCTTCTGCACGTTTGCTGTATCTGCTCTGTGTATATGTACATGTGCGCTTAAATCCCACAGGCTGGGAAAAGCACGCTCCATTGTCTCAATCACACACATTCGTTTCCCACACGTCAGTTTTGTCATTGTCTCCAAACAGTCATTAACCAAGTCAGATAATCCAGGATCTGTTTCAGATTTCGCTCTTCTTGGGTTTTCGCCCTGTGGGAGGTCGGATGTCGCGGGGCGTCGTGGAGACCCCACATGTGGAATAATCCGCTGGCATTTTGTGTCAGCATGCCAGAGACGGAAATTTTCCACCGCTGCTTTGTGAAGAGAAAGATCCTGCTGGAGCCAGAAGACGTAAATAGTTCAGTGTAGAGAGTTTGATTATGGAAAATCCTCTGAGTTTCAGTCAGGTTTTCTCTCTTCTCACATGTTCTGTCTTTACTCAAGATGCTGCTCTTGCTTTGCTTTCTGTCGATGCCCTTGTGTCAGATTTAACTGTAGTTTAATTTCTATCTTCTGTGGATCCTGTGCTGATAAATATTCTCATATACTCCATATATTCATATCCTCTGAATGTCCTTTGAGTTTTGGACGAGCCCTTGAGGAGACAGCTTGTGGAAAAGTCTGAGCTTGTGCGCTGCCCCTGTAAACAAAATTCACATTCCAGAAGGGCTAGTTTGGAAATGGAGGAAACCGAACAGAGAGAGGAGGCAGAAGAAGAAAGATGATGCGAAGGTGTCGCGATTCGGCAGAAGTTAGTTTTTATTGTCAGTGTGGAGGGGGGGGGGGGGTTACATGTGAAGAGGAACGACTTACTCCAAGGATGTGGACGTGATGTGGAGCGTTTATTGATTTTCTGTAGGATTGTTGGTGTGAGTTTGAAAAAGTCTGTCGACGACCAGATTTGATGAGGAGGAAGAATGCACTGAATAAATAAAGACGGTCTCTGATGCATCTCCCATATGATTAACTCTTGGAGCTGATCTGTCAAAGGACAAGGGCAGTAAAAAATATAACAGACACCGTATAAAGAAAGATGAACCTTATATTCATGAGAAAATGATTCTCAGTTACATGATCTAATCAGCAACGTGACAGAGATCAGAAATACATTTCTCCCTGCGTCTCTGCTTCCTTCGGGATTATAGACCCGATGTTTCTATAGATGGAAAAACGAATGTATGCCTATGTGGTGGGAATGATAACATTACAGCATATTTCTGTGGTATAAATGATGTCATGACTATACCAATGATATATGAGGGCAAAGGTGAAACACAGTGTGGTCTTTAAAGGCTGGCCGCTCCCATTGTGAGAAAACAGTCGGAGTAACAGATTGAATGCTGGGAAATACCTCCAACATTGAGTCCTGTGGAGATGAGAGATCATGAGAAATAAAACCATGAGACACAGATAATTCAGTGTCCTTATTCCACTCCTTTTATAGCGTGTGTGCGTGTGCGTGTGCGTGTTTTTCCATGGTAGTGATGTGCGGACAGGCTGTTTGTTTATGAGCAGTGTGATTCATGCTCTGTGATTCTCACAGTGTCAGAGTCAGATCATGGTTCAGCTTCAGCGTCTGGAAATGTGAACGTGGTCATGATCTCAGAAAATGTTTTAATTAAAGGAAAACACATCCGGCTGTGAAGAATCTTTACTCTTGACGGTGAAATGTAGATACTGTAGGTTTTTATTGCAAGATTCTGCAGTGTCTTCTCCTCCTCTAAGATAATATCAAGGTTAAGGGAACTGAGCCTGTTTCCTTTGTAATGATACAGGAGGTGCAGTGTCCTTCCCTTTCCGCTCTCCCCCCTGCTCTCTGCTGCGCTGGAGGAGACCTGGCTGTCTCCATCAGCGCAGCAGAGTGCACCATGGTCCACCCATCATCCTCAAAACAAGAAACGACTTTATTCTCTCAACCCTTGCCTGAAATAAAACTATTAATATAAAAGTGTGTGGAGTCAGAAATGGGTTAGGATTCATCCCCACGTCGTTTCTGGTCTTACTCATCATTGAATCACTCGTCAGCCGTGTTGCTCTTTAAATGGAGGACAACAGTGAGAAGTGGATGATGTCCTCAGTTTGTTTATCTGGTCCGACCGACGCCCCCTGAACTAAGTTTCTGTACCTGGTGGTTTGTTGTATAAACACTATCGTTGTAGCTGCGTTTTTGGATAATCACAGAATTGTGAGCAACTATTCCTGATGTGGACAAGAGATACAAACATATCCTCTGTGTGTGTGTGTGTGTGTGTGT